GGGTATTACAAAGGAAGGCTAATTTTTTCTGATGATTATAAGATGCTGAGTTATTTAATTCTACTACTTCTTCAATTTTTACTTACGAAGATTTAAGCAGTATTACTCATCCTGAACAGTTGCTAGATGGAAACAAGATTGAACCTGTTCACATTAATTCTGCACTTTCAAAAGATGATTTCCATCTTTAGAGGTGTGTATTTTAAGCCAAGATGAAATGTTCCTCTGTAAACTTCTTTTCAACTATATTATGTGAGATCATAACGATTCTCTAATGTTTAAATACCTTCATCTGAATGAACCATAACTATGTAAAAATAAGTTTTATGTTCACAGTAACAAATACAAAGTGACACTCCTTCATAGTTGGAGACACTGATCAGATGTGGAATATTTTGAAAGATAAATTTTTAAATATTCAAGGTAAACATATTCCTTATATAATGAAAAGAGTAGCTGCAAATAAAAAAACAGGTTGACTCACAAAGAGTTTAAGAGATAAAATTAAAGAAAAGCATAATAAATTTAAGAATTTTATATTGACTGATATGACAGGAGATTTAGTAGATTATAGAAGATCAAGAAAGGTGGTAAAACAGGAAATTAGGACATCAAAAAGGATGTAAGAGAAAAGGTTGAATGAAAATGTAAAAATTAACAGCAAGGATTTCTTCAAATACATTACATCATTAAACAAAAAGTTAGGATAGGCGTAGCACCCTTGAGAAATAATAAAGGAAGGCTAGTATCTGATGATTATGAGATGACTGGATTATTAAATTTTGCTTTTTATTTGGTTTTTACTAATGTAGATTTAAGCAGTATTCCACATCTTGAACAGTTAATAAATGGAAATGAAATCAAACAAGATGACTGCACTAATTCTGATCTGGTTAAGAAAAAATTGGGAAGTTTAAAAGACGATAAGGCTCCTGGGCCAGTTAATATTTCCCCAAGGGTTTTGAAGGACGTTAAAGATTGGATATGTGAACCACTTACTACTATTTTTTTATTGTCCCAGTAATTATAGATCCATTAATCTTACATCAGTTGTGGGAAAAGTTTTGGAAAGTCTGCTAAAAGAGGCTTTATTGGATAGTCAACATTGTTTCACAAGGGAAAAATATTGCCTTACAAATCTTTTGACATTTTTTGAAGGGGTTTCTGCTTATGTAGATGAGGGTAAGAGTGTAGATTTGGTGTATCTGGATTTTCAGAAACCACAAATTGCCCCATAAAAATCTTGTTTAAATAGTTATCTCTGTTGGTATGTGGGATAAGGTGAGTTATTGGATAAAAGAGTGGATGGATGGAATTAAGCAGAGAATTCTTATAAATGGAGTACAGTGAACTTGGATTAATGTCACAAGAGGGGTATCTCAGGGCTTATTGTTAAGGCCTTTGCTATTTTTGGTTTACATTAATGGCATAGATGAAGGAATGGTCAGTAAATTATTTAAATTCCTGCTACTTTACAGAAGAATTTGGGTCATTTGGCGAGTTGGTCAAATAAATTGCAGATGACTTTTAATTATAATAAATGGAAGGTAATACATATGGGTTATCATACATTTAATTAGAATTATAATTTTGATGGAAATAACTCTAACAGTGTTATGAAAGAAAACGATCTTTGTATTCTGGTTGATCAATCTCTTTAAGTCATCCAAGCTAGTAGTAGAACAAATAGGATTTTGGATTGTATTTATAAAAATATTAGATATAAGTCTAAAGAGGTAGCTTTAATTTAATTTTATAGATCATTTGGTTAGGTCAAATTGGAAGTATTGTGTCCAGTCATGGGCTTCTTACCTTATGAAAGACATTGAATTGTTGGAAAGGGTTCAGAGGTCAACTAGGATGACACCTGGGATGACAAAGTTGCCATAGGAGGACAAGTTAAAATCTCTGAAAGAATTATAGGGGATCAGATTGAGGGAATTGATAATGATGATGCATAATCTTTTTTCATACTTAGTGTTGAGAATGGAATAAGTAAGAGACACAAGTATAAATTTTGATAGAGTACGAGTTATCTTCAACTAAGACAGTTTTCTTTCATTAACAGGGTGGTTGGCCTTTAGAATGTATTCCCTTTGGATGTGGTAGAGGCAGTAAATTTAAGTGAGTTTAAAGAAAGGCTTGATAAATATTTGAATGATAAGGGCTGGCTTTGAGTTTGTTTGTTTTTGTCAGTGGATGTGATGCTCTAAATGGACCATTAAGTTTCTTATTGTCCTTAAATTTTGTTATATGTTAATACTAAATGTAATATATATATATATATATATATATATATATATAATCCAAATACAAAACACAATATATGATATTATCTGTTCAGATACAAAATAATATATATATATATAACCAGTCCCAATACTAAACACGGGCCTGTGATGGTTTTATTGTCTTGAAATTTTTACATGTTCTACAGTAATTCCTGTACGCTGAATCTGAAAATGATATCCATTTTTCTCCATCACGTGCAGATTTTTCACAAAACGTCATATGTACTTGTAGATAAGTGAATCATTTTCATTGAAATCAGGTTCCATTTTGTTATGCTTAAAATGTTGATAACCACAGGCAATAGATTTCTTTAGACCAATCGCGACATGAGAATCTTATTGTTCATTCTAGAACAGATGAGAAACACACTGCTAGTATATAAATGGTTAACAGGCTGCAAGACGTGTCATTTCTGGATAGTATTTGTTTGTGCATGCACTTTGACATTTTTTTTCTTTTCAATATAATTTATTCATCACTATGGCAACAAAATGTTGTGTAAATGATCCTAACATATTTTGTTATATTTGTTGCAAAGAAATAAAGGCAAAACATTACAGAATTCATCAAAAAAGTGTATTATGGACCAAGACAAATCATGGGTTCCGGACAAAGTTTATACCATTTGTGTCGAAGAGTTGAGACAATGGATTAAAGGTAAGAAAAAGTCTTTCCCTTTTGGAATTCCAATGGTCTGGCATGAGCCTAGAAACCACGGAGATGACTGCTATTTTTGCTCATGTAATGTGCAAGGCTACAATACTCGAAATAAAAAGGAAATTTCTTATTGGAACCTTCAGTCTGGTATAAGACCTGTTGCTCATGGACCTGGTGAACCTGTACCTACTCTTGATACAGTTTCATCTGATTCTGGATCTGATGTCAATAGAAATGATAATAGGGATTGTTTTCAACCTGAAATGTTTGAAAAGGTTTCATCAAGACATCAGGGAAATGGAGAGGAGGTATCATGGAAGGTGGAACATCAGAATGATGGCTGATTACTGCTGGTCATTGAAACGAGATGCTCTAGACACAATACATGAAAAGAAAGACCATAACACATAGTTTTGAGACTAGAAGAAGTATATTTCACACACACACACGTACACAAAATCAGGTTGAATGAGGATGCATATTCGTTTTACATCAATGTTCTTCCCTTTTTTTCAGTTTGTTCATATTTTTGTTAACAAACATAATAATAAAAAATGTTCCATGTGGTAAACGAAATAATAATTTGATCTAAGTAAGTTTTTATCTCCCCAATTTGTAAAAAATCCTTACGTGATAGAAAAAAAATTATATTATTTTCGAAATCTGCTTGTTGAATTACGGAAAATCCGTTATTAAAACCAAAACAACTTCTATGAAGTTTAAATTCACAGGCCTGTGTAATCACTTCACATACTAAACACATATACATTATTTAAATATCACAATTTAAAATATAATGTTTTTTGTTTTTTTTTCAGAGTTTGTTGGTGGGGAGGATTTTTCACCTGTAAATTATCTAGATGGGTGTAAAAGGACTTCAGTATTATGTGGACAATCATTGTATTCAAGCCTTTACAGAGGCTTCAATTATCGAACTAGCCAAAACTCATGCACGGCTATTCAACTGTGTACCAATCTTGGCTGTGGATGGTATGGCTTTGATACATAAGTTATACAGTAGTATAGGGAAACTAGACTGGGTTTTGGGTGGCCAGTGGTATGAATTTGTGGTTATTTTAAAACAATTTGTACAGACATTGACTCAAAATGGTGTCTGTGTGCTGTTCTTTTTTGATGGTGCAGTCAGTTCAAGTAAGCGTGAGGAATGGGCTAGTCGTAGACTCCAACGGATGAAGGAAATTGCGGCCATTTTTGCCCATATCCGCTTCACTCATCAGAAACCTGACAACAAACTATTTCAGCTTCCGGCATCAATGGGTACACTGACAAGATTTGCACTCAAGTTTGAATGCAACTGTGAAGTCCTAACGACTGTATTGGATGCGGATCAAGAAATATCGGAGTTTGCTCGAAGCAGGGATGATTGTTTTGCAATCCTCAGTCAGGACTCGGACTATTTAATTTTTGACACTAAACCTTATTTGTCAATCAGTACCCTAGATTTAGAAACAATGACAACAGTCTTATATGATCGGAGGGAACTCGCCAAGCAACTTGGGCTTCATGTAAACCAACTGCCCTTGTTTTCCTGCCTTATGGGAAATGATGTTATTAGAGTAGATGTACTGAGGAGGTTTCACCGTGCGCTTTACAGTTCTCATAGAAACCCTAGTGCTGTTGAATTGGCACCAGTAATAGCCAATCTGATTAGTAGCAACAGATGGAGAGGTAATCCTGATGATCAGAAAGAACTTTCTCAGATAGCTAAAATGGTATTCTCAGATCAGAGGTATTGGGAACTCATCTCTGAAGGTTTGAGGGCATACAGCTTACAGTTCAAGGATAGTAAAAGTAAGTTCTATCAACCTTTTGATCGTTCAATAAACTGCCCCGAACATACTCTGTCTGTTGCACGAGAAAGGCATAGATATTGTGTTGACTTTCCTCATATTTTTAGTTTGTTATGTCGACGAGAGTATGAATCTGCAACCACTTTGGAAGATGGAAATGACGAGAGCTTGCTGCCTTCAGCTCTACTCTTCAGGCCCATCAGACAGAGAATGTACAGCTTACTTTATCAGTATCAGGTAAAGAGTGGCTTGCACGTAACGACGAGTCCAAGATTTTACGGTCAGGGTCGTGGACAGGGCAGATATGCCTCTCTTCATAGCAGTTCCTTTTCACTTTCAGAAGGGGTTAAAGAATGGTGTGCATACCCAGGAAACCCCCTCACCGAGCCAGATGTTGTGATGCCTCTGCCTTTGGATGTACCAGGTATGTAACTACATACATGAATATATTTATTACCGTTTATGTTGGCAGTTAATAAAAATACCCATATTTTAGAAATAAACTTTATCATGATCCTGTCTTTGGACCATGAAAAGGTATTACTTTGTAAAAAGCCCCCCAGTAACACAGCGGTATGTCTGCGGACTTACAACGCTAGAAACCGGGTTTCGATACCCGTGGTGGGCAGAGCACAGATAACTCATTGTGAGGCTTTGTGCTTAATTATAAACAAACAAAACTTTGTAAAAAGATTTATTACAAACAAATAGTGCTAATCCAATTAAAAAAAAAAAAACAGGTTTAGATGTGTACGTAAAATGAGCACATATTAATACTTATATGTGAAGTGGTAAGTTTTTAAATAAGTGGTCCAGAGAAGAATCCCTGTTCTTGATATGCAATAAGTACAAAGTTCTTTAAAGTTCCCCAAACAATAAATGTTCACAGCACTTAGTAACTTATCTTTTTCTATAATTGTAACAATTTTGTATTCAGTACATTTATGCATGCAAAAGTTTTGGTTGTCTGAAGTTTGTCATAATACATCATCAAACAACTTTCTAAAACTCCCAATCCCTGTATTTACGTATTTTGTGTTAAAAAATTAATTGAAAAAAAATATTTCGTAAGCATTAATTGCAGTATAGTAGTGTGCAAGGTTGACTATAAAAGTTACTTGAAGAAGTTAGAACATGATTCAGAAATGTTTACTCACTATTATACATCATGTTTCAACACCCCGTTATTATACACCATGTATTAACAACACATTATTATACATCATGTATCAACATCCCGTTATTATAAATCATGTATTAACATCCCA